CTCACTCGTGCGCATTCCTCTCAACTGCGGGTGGAGGCGTGGCTATGACGTAACAGAGGTGACGTCACTACAGCGAGGCTCCGCCCCCACGCGCTTGGCGGGCGCACCACGTGGTGCAGTGCGGGTGGTGTGCGTCACCGGAAACAGCAGAGTCCTCGATTCAACATTAAACATTTGCCCCCTCGCTTTGTGCTTTCTTTGATGTCGCCGTTACTGCGGCGAGGACTGAAGCGATGCCTGGCCATCAGGCCTGGCATATACCTAGGCCTCAGGCTTCATATTTGTTCGTAGTTATTTTTTGTTTAATTGGAATTATTAACTTGCATTTCATTCATTACATTTCAAGCGTATAAACACCATCCCATTGGTTTATTTACTTTTAAATTCAGGTTTGTATTATAGTTATTGATCTGTAGTTATATTTAAGTGAGGTGGTTGTACTAAGTGTGAATTTGAGTTCCATGTAAATTATAATTGTGTAAAGGATTTGTCTGTGTGCAACTATCCTGGCAGTGGTAATTAGGGCTTTTTATAATTTAGTTGTTAATGATATTGTTTATTTGTGTGTGTCTGTTATCTATGTCTGTGTCAGGTTACATATCTATGTTTGTAGCTGTGTGTGTTTGTTAATTTATTATGGGTGGTGATGATGATGTATCTTGATAATGGATGGTGGTGATGATGATGATGGGTGGTGATTATGAAGGGTGGTAATGATGATGGTTGGTGATGATAATGTGTAGTGATTATGATGGGTGGTAGTGGTGATCATGGGTGGTGGTAATGATTGGTGAGGTTATGATGATGGGTGGTGATGGTTATGGGTGGTGATGATGATGGGTTGTTGTGATTATGGGTGTTGATGATGATGGATGATTGGTGGTGGTTATGATAACTGTTGGATTGTGATGGGTGGGTGGTGGTTGTGGCGATGGTTGATAGTGATAATGATGATTGGAGATGATAATGGGTGTTGATGCCGATGATTTGTGTTGATGATTATGGGTGGTGATGAGTAAATGAGCCACCACCCAATACATAACAGTAACAGAAGTAACTAAAGCAGCACCAATAACAGCAGCAACAACAGCAGCAACACGTTTTGAGGGCGACGCAACTACTTCTGATTCTGCTGTTTCTGCTGCTCGACTATTTGTAGACAGGACCTGCTCTCGCGGGACCCCACACGTCTTTGGAAATGATTGCGATCATGTCTGAGCTGAGAATTAAGTGACTAATCGTTGCTTTGTTTAACCATAACTGTGTGTAGGTTAGTGTCTGGGGACTCAGCGAATACTACTCATGAAAGAACTCGCACTCCTTTATGACCGACATTCTACTAATTTTGGTTGATCGAGACGAACAAGGCACGTGCCATGTCCAGATTATTTTTATTACCAATATTGTCTTTAAATATGATGCTAAACTAAACGTTAACACTGGATTAAACCTGCACCTCTTAACCCCTGCCTCACATTTACGACTAACAATTTGCATTTTATACGTAACATACAGTCAAGCACAGTAAAATGCTAATACGACAATATTGTTATTCTAGGAATTTGAATTCGATTCTAACCCTGCACCCCTCACAGTTCGCATATCCAACCCCCGGTTCGATGGAACGTTCGCTTTACATACATTTGAGCAGTGTGGTTATAATACTTCTAATGAGATTTGAATACCGTACCTCCGTTCATGGTGTAATGAATTAGAATACCAGTTTATAGTCATTTATAGTTGAGTGTTATCGTTTATAATGATACAGCTGAAGTCATCGAGGTGAAACGGCCTAAGTGTGTAGGAATGTAGATAGGGCATCGCCGTTGGTTCGTCCACCCATCCCGCCTCAAGACTTATGTCCGTCCCCACCCAGACGGCTTATCCCCATGTCCCGTACAGCCCAAGTCTGGTGTGTCCAACGTGGTGGGGTGCTTGGCAACGGAAACCGTACTCCAAAGGAAATGTGTTGTGCCGCTCACAGTTTGCTAGCCCCTGAGGCCCGGGGTGCCTCAAGGATCTCCCACGTGCGAGGAATCGGTGCCAGGAGCCCGGTCATGTTTCTCAAAAGAAGCCAGGGAGCTGTCTAACCCTTCAAGGCTGTGGTGCGAACCCTTGACGCCCCGAAAGGCACAAGATTCCACCATGGGCGAGGGACCGGCGTCGAGAACCAGGTCAAAATGCTCAAGGTTACGCTCGTAGGATCCAAGCCCAACACACGGACAATTGAAGGGTCCAGTTGAACAACGTGGAAGCGTGTTAGGATTGTTGTTGTGGTTATTGTGTTGTTTTCTTGTTGTTGACGGGTGAGTGTGGTCACACTGCTTACCCCTTACAGTTGAGTATTTGGTTTGGGAAATTTTGCTACATCTGCTGCCCTGACGCACGTGGCTTCTAAAAACTGTTGTTGATGTAAAGACAGTGCATCTAGTAAGGGACAAGCGGTGACAATAAGATAGAGAGAGTTCAAGAAGGGAAGGCGGGACAAAGGGTGGGGGGGAATTCTCACAACGAATAAGAGAGGAGGAGGAACGACGTTCAGGGCTGTTTTGGTGGAATATCGGGTCGTGGCATTTTGCTGTCTCGTCGTTTTCGTTGCTATATCGAGATTCCGGGGTCGTCAGCAGTGTTAAAAGATCAACAAAATAACCCTCTCCAGTCTGAGTCTAAAGTCATTACAATTGTAACGATTCAATCTCACGAACTTTGTTCGATTATATTGCTATTCGATGCCGTTGAGATGGAACATTCATCAATCAGTGGGCAACTTGATTCTAATACGACCATGGTGTGATTCTAATAATTTTGATTCGATTCTAAACCTGACACCTCGCAGGCCACATTTTGGTACGACAAAAAATGTAATCAGATCCTGTTCTTGCACCTTCCGTTTCACAGATCCCACACTTGGTTCGCACGTCCATATTACATACATATTACATACATACATACATATTACATAAAGACATGTTACATAAAGACATGTAACGTACTTACCAGCATAGTCTGATTCGCAGAGGACCACGGAGTAATTCTAATCATTCGAATGCGAATCCAATATCACACTTCAATACATGGTGTTCCAATCTATAACACTAGCATATGTTATTTTTTGCATTATAATGTCGAGCTCATATGTTTTATTGTTCGAGTTCACAACATTAAATTTTACTATAAAAGTAGTTTACAGTGGTATTGTTATAGCGTTACAATGTATAGCTACAACAGTTATATTGTTAGAGTTTATAATGTTAGAGCTTACAGTGTGAGTTAATAATGTGAGAGTTTTTAGCCGTGCCCTGTCCTCGTGGGACCCCACACGCATTTGGAAATAATTGCAATGACCATGAATGAGCTGAGATTTGAGCGACTAATGTTTACTTTGTTTCAACATAACTGAGTGCAGGTTAGTGCCATCTGGCCTTAGCGAATACCACTCATGAATGAACTCATACTCCTTTATGAAGGAATTGTAATCATGCCTTTTCTTGACGAAATGTTATCTTCAATATCGTCCTCAAATATACGGCTAAAATACACAGCATAGGGAAGGCTGCCTTGTTGGGGAGATGTAGTTTGGGTAAGTCGCTGTGACTGGAGTTAAACATTCGCTGCTTGGCACCGTCAATAGCAGCGGAGACGATCCGATCCACCGCACTCCATCTCCCCACAAGGTCCACGAAATTCTCAGTTTTTTTAAAATGAACGTATGTTTTTCAAATCATATGAAATGTAATTATGTTATAATATGTGATTGTTATACACTTTATATGTTTACATACCGTATATAGCTATTCGGTTAAATTAACATGATATTTATCCAACAGTGGACAGTTTGATTCTAATACGACTACAGTGGGATTTTAATAATTGTAATGAGATTCAAATCTTGCAAATCCTACCCCCGGTTCGCAATCACTTAACATGCATATGGGCACAGTGTGATTCTAACATCATCACAGTGCGATTATAATTATTATTATGCGATTATAATCACGAACCTCCATTTATTTTGTTCAAAACTAATAATACCGTACCTCTGTTGTTGGTGTTATAAATGATGAAACTAGTTAATAGATTATTGTATTTTAATGATTTTTGTTATCGTTGATAGTGTTACAGTTCACATGTCATACTTGATGATTAGGGACCGTAACGTTGGGAATAGATTTGTAATGGGGACCTTTCCCCTCCAGGGACACATGTTAGTGGGGAGACAGCCAAGATGCTGCCGGTTAAGGGCAGATTTGTGTGACGAAGATCCTCCACCTGAAACTCGCTTAAAACACGTTTTTGCTATGAACATTGTAAAATAAATAAACGGACAAACATTTCTTAAAATCTGCAATCATTTTTACGTTTAAACTCCAACCGAATATGTATTATGTTCTATGTTCAAACAGTTACAGTACAATGCAAACCATATCCGTTCCAGGAATACCAAAGCGTTAAAGTATCATTCCCCATGATGTCCTTATTAGTTCACCACATTTGTTCACTGTTCGTCTATGTTGAAGTCAAGGACATATATCCCACGAACGCGTCATCAATGTACATACCAAAGCAGATTATTACCATCCAAAAAAAGCTTTATACTTGAAAAAAACCCGTTTAAAATGTTGAGTAAAGATCTAACTACATATGCATTCCAACTTTAGCTCAACAGGAAGACTTAAATCCGACAAAATCAAAACTCACCACCTGTACGTCAAGAAACTCTCAAACGAACTGTAAAACTAAAGGGTCAGAATTACACACAAAAGTACCCAAGACAGCTTAATAGGTATAACCGCATGCAACATTATATTTCAGTCACCCGAGCTCTCAGTTTGATCCTCGAGCCACTCCATTACATCCATCCATCTCTCGGGATCCAACTGCATGGAATCGAAGGTGGAATTATCTTCAGGAATCATTGCAGCACCTTGAATTTCAACTTTTGATTTCAGCTTCCTATCATCGTGGACCTTCTGATGCCTGTTCCGTTTTGACGACTGTACAAATGTCTTCCCACACACAGGGCACAGGAATGGCTTCTCGCCCGTGTGTGTTTTCTGGTGACTCTGAAGATGTGATGACTTTGCAAATGCCTTTCCACACACAGGGCACAGGAACGGCTTCTCGCCCGTGTGTGTTCTCTGGTGACTCTTAAGATGTGATGGCCGTGAAAAGGACTTCCCACACACAGAGCAATTGAATGGCTTCTTGCCTCCGTGTGCGTGGGGCTGTGGAGAGCGTCTCTGCTCCATGTGAGCGTAGCAACAGCAGCGGTGTTATGGTGTCAAAAGTACTCTCGCGTCTAATCGAGACGCAAAGAATTCCCGTAAATTTGACGACGAACACGTGTAAGAGTTTATCCGCGAAAATAGACACTTACTTGGAGATTCACGGTATATCGATGTCTGGAACCCGTCTGAAGATGTCGCCACGAACTCTCCCGACGCAAAGTCGCCTAACTGTCGACACAGCAATTGTGCTCGCCAAGCTGCGTTGTCTCGCGGTTGAAGGGCGATCAGCAGAGCGACGAGTCGAGCGTCCAACCTCATCAAGTTCCCTCTCGAAATGGCATTGAGCTCTGCTTCTGAGCCGCCTTATAACTCCCCCCTAGGATCCAATCCTTTGTCTTTCAGGATATTTGCATTCGATTGTTAATTTTGGAAGGTACAATCCGCATGTCTATTAACATACCGAAGGGTAATGTGCCCATTGTACTTCATGCATGTATATGTAAGTGCATCTCAGTGTGTAATTGTGCGCTTATTTTGAATAAATGGAAAAACTTTGTCCTCGATTTAAAGTGAATGCAGAGAAATTAGCATGTAACTTTAGAAAAGGAAGAGAGCGGCCTTCTCGACGAGGGAGTGAAACCCAATAGGTAATATTCTTTTACAGCGTTACAATGGATAGGTTGTAGTTCATAGGTTATAATATTATGTTTCACTATGATAGAGCTTAACATGTGAGAGTATACAATATCAGAGTTGATAAAATGCGACGATCAAGGGCGTCAATCGGGTGAGTTTGAACAGAGGCTTTAATCAAAGGCGTCATCCCATCACGGAACACCACCTCTCTGCGATTATTACAGCAACAGAAGCAACTACAGCAGCAACAACAGCAGCAACATCACATTTCGAGGGCAACGCAGCTACTTCCGATTCTGCTGCCCAGCTGTTTGCAGTCGGGACCTGCTCTCGCAGGACCCCACACGTCTTTGGAAATGATTGCGATGATCATGTCTGAGCTCAGAATTAAGTCACTCAAGATTACTTTTTTAACCATAACTTTAGGTAGGTTAGTGTCATCGGGGCTCTGTGAATACTACTCATGAATGAAATCACACTCCTGTATGACCGACATTGTACTAATTTTGGTTGATCGAGCAGAACAAGGCACATAACATGTCCAGACGAATTCTTATCAACAACAGTGTCCTTAAATATGATGCTAAAATAAATGTTAACACTGGATTAAACGTGCACCTCTTAACCCCTCCCTCGCATTTACGACTAACAATTTGCATTTGCACATAACATACATTCAAGTACAGTAATTTGCTAAAACGACCAAATTGTCATTCTAAAATTTGAATGCCATTCTTACCCTCGACCCCCACAGTTCACATATCCGACCGTCGGTTCGATTGAACGGACAATTAACAAACATGTGTAGAGTTCCATTATAATACTTCTAATGAAATTAAAATACCGTACCTCCGTTTATGGTGGTATAAATTATAAAACCAGTTGGTAGCTTTTTTTGTCGTTTAATGTTTAGTGTTATTGTTTATAGTGTTATCAATTTACGTGTTTTTAAGTACAGGTGATTCCCGGTATACTTCGGTATTCTGGACCTGAACGTTGCACCGTCTCTCTGGGGAACCGTGTGGTGTGTGTAGCGAGTATCACGGGGTGGGCGGGTAGTGTGGTGATAGTGGTCACGGTCGGCACCGATGCACGACCACCGCCACCACCCCTACTGGGCGGTGGACCTGCCACCACAAAGCAGCACGTGGCGGAGGAGTGAGGCGATCGCTCTCGCCACGCGAGCGAGGCTCCCTCGCTTCCTCTTCTTTTCGTGCATCTCCACCTGCACCTCTTCCGTTTTCTCCTCCGTCTCATCCTCCTCCATCCCCTCTTCTTCATCCTCCACCACCATCTTCTCCTCTACCTCCTCCTCTTCCTGCGCCACCTCCATCTTCTCCATCTTCTTCTCCTCCGCTAGCACCATCTCTTCCTCCTTCATCTCCTCCTCACCTTCCGGCACCACCATCTCCACCACCGTCTTCTCTTCCTCCTCCACCACCATTGTTTCCCCTTTGTCCGTCGTCTCCATGTCCTCCACCACGACCATCTGTTCATCCTTTGTTGTCTCCTTGTCCTCCATCTCCGTATTGTCTTTCTCCTCTCCCTCCGTGTTCTCCTCCATTGTCACCATCACAATCTCGTCCTCCTTTGCCTTCTCTTCCTCCGATTTCTCCTCCTCCTCTGTCTCTACCTCATCCTCCATCATCTCCTCCTTCACCTCTTTCTTCGTTTCCTTCTCCACAACCTCTGTCTTCACTTCAAAGGCCTGGACGAGTGAGGAGGAGGGCTGAGCTGGCTCAGATCTGTGAAGAGACAACACGACACCGTTCTAGATTTGAAGCTTTCGTGACTGCAATGATTCATATTCTTAGGTTTTTTCGGTAAAGTCACGTAGGTAAAAAAACATTAAAAAGTAAAATAAAATAACATAAAAAATAAAAATCACGACGTTTCGGAGGCAACACAAGCTTCCGTCTTCAGGTGGAACCATCACAGCCACGACAGCTGTATCAGGTAAATGAGAGATTGCAGAAGCTACCACTTCGTTTATATGATGGTTGGAGAAGGTGGTGGGGCAAGGGCCGCATACTTTTATTAATATGGTAAGGTGAGGCTTAAGACTAAGAATAGACTGCATATCAAAGGCTGAGCCTTTGTTATGGAGAGGTGCGGTTTGTGACTCAACCTGTAACAGGGAGACCACCACTAGACATGGTAAAACTGATGGTTGTCTGTCAAACACGACACCGTTCCACCTTGCTGCTACGGCAGACATCGCCATCTCCCCATCGTCCGTGGGTGGAATGTGTGGCGGATTAATTCGAGCTGAAAAGAAACAGCAATAACGACATGGCCAGTGAGTGTGCTTAGTATTGGTGCTGTCATTCTCATGGCGCCAGGCTATCCTTGAGATAGGTGCAGCTGTGTCTCACACAGACTGCTGTAGTATCACAGTAGTGGGTGGCGTTGCTGTGCAAATTTAGCTGAATAATTTGAAGTGACATTTGTTTGGTTCTTTCGGTAAAGTCATGTAGGTATAAAATAAAATAAATTAAATCACAACGTTTCGATTGTAACACAAGCAATCATCATCAGGTGGGAAAACCACAGCAAGAAACGTTCTTGCAATAACGACATGGCCATCGAAACGTCGTGATTTAATTTAATTTATTTTATTTCATACCTACGTGAATTTACCGATATAACCAAAGAATATGGATCCCTGTAGTCACTAAAACTTCAAATCTAGATTGAACATATTCTATATGTATATTCTAATTGACCCCTTGCACATAATGTCCTAAGCATTTCAAATGGCATCGATAGAGATCCTGAACGTCCACTGTGACGGAATGGGTGTGGATCTGTGTGGTCAATGCAGCAGCAATAATAGCCAGGGCGGAAAGCAAGATCTGAACTGTAATGGTGAAGAATGAGTGCACGACCATTTGGTCGCTTCAACACATCCACGATTTCAAAAAAGTGTCCGTCAGTGATTTGTGGTCGAGAGAGCCACCTCCCTTGACGTCGAAGGCATCTCAAAGTGCATTGCATGCGATTAGCCTCTCGCATCTCTCATCTCATCGCGTTTTAAATTGGACACCCCTCTCAGTGGTAGCTGTCGCTGTGCATTACAAGGCGACTAGGCAGCTGGCCTAGAAACAGGCGATAGACAGCGAAAATTTCACGGTGGATGGAGGGTTACATGGTGAAGATATGCCCACTTCGTTATGTCGTCTAACTCAGAAACCAGTTACGAAAAATAAATCTGTCCTCAGTATAGCGGAATGTACACGTGGGGTTTGCAGTGTCTGTGTATTTTGAGAGCGCGACAGGGCTTGAGCATCTGTGCGTCACAGCAACGTTGACCTGGGTTTGATTTCCACGTTTGGCCACATTCTCCGTGTGGATTATGCAGCCATCTGTTCTGGGGAGGTTCTGTAGCTTTCTCCCTGTTACTGAACCCACACAAGCAATGCAAATCGTTTAATTTGGATCGCAAACAGTAGCAACTTTGTTGCAAAATGCGAGCAAACTTGGCAGGATCCTCATGAAAAAAAATCTTGAGACCGAGTAAGGCTGATGCTGCGTGAGAAGCATGGCAATAAATAACAAAAATAAACACACAGGGCGCACACGCAGAGTGGTTTACCGTGGCTCAGCGACTCCGGAGTTTGCTTTATCTTCTTGGAAGCCCTCTTCTCCAAAGCTCGGTGCAATTGGGCCCCACACAGGATTGGAGGATATGGTGGCGGTGGTGGCGGTGGTGGTGGTGGCGGTGGTGTCAGTGGTAGTGGTGCTGCTGGTGGTGGTATCGGTCTGGAGCCATTGTCGCTCGATCTTGGCGAGGCGCTCTTCCTCCTCGAGGCGCTTTTGCTCCACAAGACGCTTCCCCTCCATCAAGTGCTCCTCCTCCTCTTGATGCTTCACCTCAACGAGGCGCTTCTCCTGCATGAGACGTTTCTCCTCGAGGAGCTTCACCTTGCGAAAGCGCCTCTCCTCATGTCGCTTCTTCTTCTTCTCGAGACGCTTCAGCTCTATGAGACGCTTCACCTCAAAGAGGCGATTCTCCTCCATGAGGTGCTTCTCTTCCTCGACCCGCTGCACCTCAATGAGGCGCTGCTCTTCGACAAGGCGCTTCTCTTCTTTCACCTGCTTCTCCTCAATGAGGCGCTTCTCTTCCTTGACCCGCTTCACATCTATGAGGCGCTTCTCTTCCCCCAGATGCTTCTCCTTGAGACGCTTCACCTCGCGAAGGCGCTTCTCCTGCATGAAGCGCGTTTCTTCAAGGAGGCGCTTTTCCATGACGCGTTTCACGTCGTTGAGGATTTTGTTTCGAAGGCACTTCTGCTCCGTTTGGTGCTTCAACTTGGCGAGGTGCTTCACCTCATTGGGGCGCTTCTCTTCCAATGTGCATTTCTCCTTCGCAAGGCGCTTGTCCTCCTGGAGACGCTTCACTCCGCTGAAGTTCTTCACCTCCCCAATGCTCCTCTGTTCACGCGAAGATAAGCACATGACCATTCAGACATGCACACTCAGGACACAATATATTCTTGCAGGCACACAAACATGGACGGGCACATAGCAAACAAAAATGCATACTGGCACATCTATGTACGGATGCAATAATGCACATTAACTCATGCAAACATGATAGCAAACGTATGAATATACACCATCACCTAATGTTATCAAAATACATGTTATATCCTCATATTCTCACAAATTCAATACACGCACTTAATGCAGTGATAGTCTACAACGATTTCATGGAGATTGTTGGCAACAATCATCACTGGCAATAGTTTCCACAGAATGTTCTATTGTAAAGATCTGGATGCCCATAATCTGGACAAATTTTATTGCAGCACCCATAATGGGTAACTGGAATGTCAACTTCCAATCAGCTCACAGACATAATTCATGAGATTGCCTGATATCATTCTGTCTTCATTGGTAATGAATGGCGACTTCATTTGCCTGCACGAGTGGGATATGGCATGACGTGATGGTGGAGAGATGGAGTGATGGTGTTGGGAGATGGTGTTGTGATACGGAGAGGTGAAATTGTGGAATGTTCTGGAGAGATGGTGCCTTGTGATGGTATTGACGCTTTATGAGGCTCTATGATATTGTATTGATTCTCGATTTGAAGTTTTCGTGACTGCAAGCATTCATACTCACGTATGTGACTTTACCGAAAAAACCTATGAAAGAGTCACATACGTGACTTTACTGAAACAACCTAAGAGTATATTGTATTGAGTTGGTGGTGGTGTGGTGTGATGAGAAAGGTGATATGAAGAGATGGTGTGGTGATGTGAGGTGTAGTGATGTTTTGGTGCAATGGTGTGGGAGTGTGGAGAGAATGTGGTGTTTGACTCCCATAGACCCCATACACACCTTTGGGGAACGATTTTCATTGCTTTGGCCTGGGAAAGGGTCCACTTCATCCATAATGCCCCCCCACGTGGTCGACTGGCGCCATGACTCCCGGGCTACGGAAAACAAAATTAATTCAAAGGACGAGTAATGTCTTAGAGAACGAAGCACGTGGATATTCACACAACTAATTCTGAGATTCTTGTAATTACCTCTTAACACATTACATGACCTGCTGTTGAGAAACATTAGTCACATGACAGTAAAACATTACAAGTCATATTTTTGTAAGCATGTTGAGATCATCAATTTCATAAATTTGAGACCCCCGTTTAAACCAATATGGCTGAAACGCAGCTCTAAATCCATGCTGTCTGCCACACTTGACCGTTTACCTATTCCCATCACCACCAAGCCACGTCCACTAAAAATAATTAATCAGGGAGCTGCCTCCTCTGCATAAAAGCCACGTGATGCAGGTAACTGGGACTTACCAACATAGTCCTCCAAGATGTCAGCCCACTTGCGTTGTCTGTCCATGTTGTTGGGAAGTAGTAGTTTCTGTTTGATGTTGGAGGGCCTGGGGAGGTTGTAAAAACGCTTGAATTTAGCAGCCTTTTGAATCACTCATCCTCTCAATTGTTACATATTTGAGCACTCGCTGTACTAATCAAATCACTTTCGTGCCGTTTGTTTTACAAGTCCACTCACTCGCTTGTTTGCCCACTCACACGTGCGTCAGATCACTCACTCATCCACCCACGCGAACATGTTTATTCCAACTGCCTATTGCATTAAACATAATCGCCAGACATAACCGTGATGTTTAACCTCTAATCCAGACAAGCATGTTGATGCACAGCCCATTTGTATTAATCGACTGTTTGATGAAGGCCCCCCGAACCCTAACCCGAGAATGATGTCGTAGGTCACTTGATGTCAGAGGTACCGCCCATGTGGCTGTGACATCACAGATAGGAGACGTCTATGGCAGCAGCTTGGGTCTGAACTAAAAGGTAGACTCCTCCCTCGTGTTGGATAACATTCAATACACGTAATGCAGGGCACAATTATGCAGGCAATCAGAACACAATCTTTATAGACATGTTAATTATATTATATGAGATTTAAACAGGTTAGTTATGAAAGTTTTAAATGTTGACTTGCTTTGGGTCTAAACAATGACAGTAACAGCAACATATCAGAGCATGCCAAGTAACCTAACTAATTGTCCTAATTTGGTAGCAAAAAATCTAAATACCAACATATTCAAAAATAATGAAGCTTTAGTTTGCAGTCAAAACGTGCAATAAATATAAACAACACACATCGTCAACAGGGACGCTCACGATAATAGTTTTTACCCTTCTATCTGGCAACAAAACTGACACCTTTTTACAAGGAGTCATGTTTGCATAGACCGCAATACCTGCAGTCATAATACAAACAAAAGAACATAACTCTGATAATGTGCACTGTCCTTGAAGTTGATTGGTCCACACCCGAGACAGCTTTCCTTAGAGCCTAGTCTCACATGGGTTGGACCTGATGACGCCAAAAGGCGCACTGTAAAAAGGTGTCAGTTTTGTTGCCAGATAGAAGGGTAAAAAACAATTATCATATTTTTACTGGAAAATGAGGTTCCCACAGGGACGCTCACCTCGTTGAGAATTCGCTCTGCAAAGGCTTCTGCTGCTGCTGCTCACTCGTGCGCATTCCTCTCGACTGCGGGTGGAGGCGTGGCTATGACGTAACAGAGGTGACGTCACTACAGCGAGGCTCCGCCCCCACGCGCTTGGCGGGCGCACCACGTGGTGCAGTGCGGGTGGTGTGCGTCACCAGAAACAGCAGAGCCCTCGGTTCGACATTCAACATTTGCCCCTCGCTTTGTGCTGTTTTTGATGTCGCCGTTACTGCGGCGAGGACTGAAGCGATGCCTGGCCATCAGGCCTGGCATATACCTAGGCCTCAGGCTTCATACTGTTTCGTTGTTATTTTTTGTTTAATAGGAATTATTAACTTGCATTTCATTAATTACATTTCAAGCGTATAAACAGCATCCCATTGGTTTATTTACTTTTAAATTCAGGTTTTTATTAGAGTTTTTGATCTGTAGTTATATTTAAGTGAGTGAGGTGGTTGTACTAAGTGTGAATTTGAGTTCCATGTAAATTATTATTGTGTAAAGTATTTGTCTGTGTGCACCTATCCTGGCAGTGGTAATTTGTGCTTTTTATAATTAAGTTGTTAATTAGATTTTTTATTTGTGTGTGTCTGTTATCTATGTCTGTCAGGTTACATATCTATGTTTGGAGCTGTTTGTGTTTGTTAATTTATGATGGGTGGTGATGATGATGGATGGTGATTATGAAGGGTGGTAATGATGATGGTTGGTGATGATAATGTGTGGTGATTATGATGGGTGGTAGTAATGATCATGGGTGGTGATAATGATTGGTGAGGTTATGATGATGAGTGGTGATGGTTATGGGTGGTGATTATGATGGGTGGTAGTGATGATCATGGGTGGTGGTAATGATTAGTGAGGTTATGATGATGGGTGGTGATGGTTATGGGTGGTGATTATGATGGGTTGTTGTGATTATGGGTGTTGATGATGATGGATGATTGGTGGTGGTTATGATGAATGTTGGTTGTGATGGTTGGGTTGTGGTGGTGACGATGGTTGGTGATGGTGAGTTGATAGTGATAATGATGATTGGTGATGATAATGGGTGTTGATACTGATGATTTGTGTGGATGATTATGGGTGGTGATGAGTAAATGAGCCACCACCCAATACATAACAGCAACAGAAGTAACTACAGCAGCAACAACAACAGCAACAACACATTTTGAGGGCGACGCAACTACTTCTGATTCTGCTGTTTCTGCTGCTCGACTATTTGTAGCCAGGCCCTGCTCTCACGGGACCCCACACGTCTTTAGAAATGATTGCGATGATCATGTCTGAGCTGAGAATTTAGCGACTAAACGTTACTTTGTTTAACCATAACTGTGTGTAGGTTAGTATCTGGAGGCTCAGCGAATACTACTTATGAAATAACTCGCACTCCTTTATGACCGACATTCTACTAATTTTGGTTTAACGAGACGAACAAGGCACTTGCCATGTCCAGATTATTTTTATTACCAATATTGTCCTTAAATATGATGCTAAACTAAACATTAACACTGGATTAAATATGCACCTCTTAACCTCTGCCTCGCATTTACGACTAACAATTTGCATTTACACGTAACATACAGTCAAGCACAGTAAAATGCTAATACGATAATATTGTTATTCTAGAAATTTGAATTCGATTCTAACCCTGCACCCCTCACAGTTTGCATATCCAACCCCCGGTTCGATAGAACGTTCGCTTTACATGCATATGAGCAGAGTGCTATTATAATACTTCTAATGAGATTTGAATACCGTACCTCCGTTTATGGTGTAATGAATTAGAAAACCAGTTTATAGTCATTTAATGTTGAGTGATATCGTTTATAATGATACAGCTGAAGTCATAGAGGTGAAACGGCCTAAGTGTGTACGAATGTAGATAGGGCGTCGCCGTTGGTTCGTCCACCCATCCCGCCTCAAGACTTATGTCCGTCCCCACCCGGACAGCTCATCCCCATGTCCTGTACAGCCCAAGTCTGGTGTGTCCCACATGGTGGGGCGCTCGGCAACGGAAACTGTACATTGCGACGCTTTAAAATAATAGTAGTTTAATGTTTAGTGCTATCGTTTATAATGTTACAGTTGACATGTTATAGAGTACAGGTGATCTCCAGTATACTTCGGGATTAGGGACCAGAATGCTGTGAAACGATTTATAACGGGGCCATTCCACCTCTAGGAACATGTTAATGGGGAGACAGCCAAGATACTGCTCGTTAAGGGCAGACTTGTGTGACGGAGATTAGCGACTACTACTGAAGAATTATCTATCATTTATGATAGAATTTGTCATAATTTTGGTTGATTACGGAGAACAAGACACCTGCTATGTTGACGAATTCTTAGTACATATAGTGTACTTACCTATATTGCTAAAATATCGTTAACACTAGAATAAACTTGAAGTTCTTAGCCATCTCATCACGTTGCTTCAAATATGCTCTAGGTTGAGTGTCCTGATGTGGTCTGAAGCATTTACTGTGATTAAATTGAAGCATTCAAAGCGGTCCACAACCCTTAATTGTGCAGCTTGGAATAATGGAGGAATTCGCATTGATTTTTTTGTTTTTTTGAACCGAGGCCATAATTAGGAGGTACATCACAAGCGAAAGCGATAGTATTTGCCAAGAATATCTTCATTAATCGAGAACGAAAGTAGGAAGTTCAAATGGTGTCATATACCGCCAATTTTCGAGTTGGATCTTTGGGGCTGTATAATGTGTAAAGTTGAAGGTGCGAGGTGTTGTCTTCTTCGAACAGCTACTAACGTGCGTGTGTTGTCTGTTTTTAGGATTTGTTAGCTTTGTCGTGCGAATTTCTTGTTGAGTTCTGCCACTTTAGTGTTGCATTTTGTTCAAGAATCCGCCATGTGAGCGTGATGTTTTGCTTCGTGGGAATTTCGCTTTGTTACAATTTGTGATTGTTATAATAATTGTAACGATTCATAAGCTCATGAGCTTATAATGTGTTTGTGCGTTTATTTATTACCATTGAGATGGAACATTCATCCAGCAATGAAAATCGTGATTCTATAACGACCGTAGTGTAATTGTAATCATTTTAATCCGATCCTTGCACGTACACTATACATACATATGAGCAAAGTGCTATTTTAATAAGACCACACTTTGATTCTACTGCTTATAATGATATTATAATACCTTACCTCCGTTTATATGGTTATAAATTAAAACACTAGTTTATAATCATTTAATGTTTAGTGTTATCGTTTATAGTATTACAGTTTACATGTTATAGAGTACAGTTTATCCACGACATTCTTCGGGATTAGGGACTGGTACGTTGATGAACGATTAACTACGGGGACCTTTCCCCTCAAGGAACACGTGTTAATCGGGTAGACAGCCAAGATGCTGCCAGTTCAGGGCACACTTGTGTGACGGAGATTCTCCACCTGAAATTCTCTTAACATGTTTTTGCTAGGAACATTATAAAATAAAGACGGGACAAACATTTGTTAAAAATACGTTTTTATTCATCTGCAATCATTTTTACGTCAAAACTCGAAGGGAATATTTATTATGTCCTATGTTCACACATTTCCAGTACCATGCAAACCATTTCCGTTCCAGGAATACCAAAGCGTTAAAATATAATTCCCCATGATTTCCTTATTAGTTCACCACATTTGTTCACTCTGCGTCTATGTTGAAGTCAAGGCCATATATCCAACGAACGCGTCATCAATGTACTTCCTGAAATCGGCTATCTAGAGTCGATTAATACCAATAAAAAAAGCTATGTACTTGAAAAAACCGTTTAAAATGTTGAGTAAAGATGTACCTACAGGCGCATTCCAAGCTCAACAGAAACAAATAACGACTACAATTGAACCCTCTCACAACCAGTGCTCATCACACCACTTCGGCAAGTATTCCTATAACATTACAAACCAACACTGTGCACGTCATTAAACTCTCAAAAAAACTGGAAAACTAAAATGGTCAAAATTACACACAAAAGTACTCGATACGGATTAAAAGGTATAACCACATGACGTAATTTTTTTCAGTCACCCCGAGCTCTCTGGTTGACTCTCGAGCCACTCCATTACATCCAGCCATCTCTCGGGATCCAACTGCATGGGATCGAAGGTGGAAACTTCTTGAGGACTCATTGCAGCACCTTGAATTTCAGCTTTTGATTTCAGTTTCCTATCATTGTGGACCTTCTGATGCCCGTTCATGTTTGATGAGTGTGCAAATGCCTCCCCACACACAGGGCACAAGAATGGCTTCTCGCCCGTGTGTGTTCTCTGGTGACTTTGAAGATGTGATGACTTTGCAAATGTCTTCCTACACACAGAGCACAGGAATGGCTTCTTGCCCGTATGTGTTCTCTGATGGTCTTGACAAGTTGACGAGTGTGCAAATGCCTTTCCACACACAGGGCACAGGAATGGCTTCTCGCCGGTGTGTGTTCTCTGGTGACTCTGAAGATGTGATGAGTGTGCAAATGTCTTCCCACACAGAGCACAGAAACGGCTTCTCGCCCGTGTGTGTTCTCTGGTGACTCTGAAGATGTGATGACTGTGCAAATGTCTTCCCACACACAGGGAACAGGAATGGCTTCTCGCCCGTGTGTGTTTTCTGATGAGTTTGAAGAGTTGTCGATTGTGCAAATGTCTTCCCGCACACAGGGCACAGGAATGGCTTCTCGCCCGTGTGTGTTCTCTGGTGACTCTGAAGATGTGATGAGTGTGCAAATGTCTTCCCACACACAGGGCACAGGAATGGCTTCTCGCCCGTGTGTGTTCTTTGATGACTCTGAAGATGTGATGAGTTTGCAAATGTCTTCCCACACACAGGGCACAGGAATGGCTTCTCACCCGTGTGTGTTCTCTGGTGTCTCTTAAGACTTGTTGACCATGAAAATGCCTTCCCACACACAGAGCAATTGAATTGTTCCTTGCCCCCGTGTGCGTGGGGCTGTGGAGAGCGTCTCTGCTCCATGTGAGCGTAGTAACAGTAGCGGTGTTATCGAGTCAAAAGTACGCTATCGGCAAGGATGTTTAGCGTTGAGTTTTGGATTTGTTAACTGCTAAAACAAGAACGAGTTTATCCGCGAAAATAGACACTTACTTGGAGATTCACGGTATATCGATGTCTGGAACCCGTCTGATAATGTCGCCACGAACTCTGCCGACGCAAAGTCGCCTAACTGTCGACACAGCAATTGTGCTCGCCAGGCTGCATTGTCTCGCGGTTGAAGGGCGATCAGCAGAGCGACGAGTCGAGCGTCCAACCTCATCAAGTTCCCTCTCGAAATGGCATTGAGCTCTGCTTCTGAGCCGCCTTATAACTCCCCCCCTAGGATCCAATCCTTTGTCTTTCAGGATATTTGCATTCGATTGTTAATTTTGGAAGGTACAATCCGCATGTCTATTAACATACCGAAGGCTAATGTGCCCATTGTGCTTCATGCATGCATATGTAAGTGCATCTCAGTGTGTCATTGTGCGCTTATTTTGAATAAATGGAAAAACGTTGTCCTCGATTTAAAGTGAATGCAGAGAAATTAGCATGTAACTTTAGAAAAGGAAGAGAGCGGCCTTCTCGACGAGGGAGTGAAACCCAATAGGTAATATTCTTTTACAGCGTTACAATGGATAGGTTGTAGTTCATAGGTTATAATATTATGTTTCACTATGATAGAGCTTAACATGTGAGAGTATACAATATCAGAGTTGATCAAATGCGACGATCAAGGGCGTCAATCGGGTGAGTTTTATCAGAGGCTTCAATCAAAGGCGTCAACCCATCACGGAACACCACCTCCCTGTGTATATCACAGCAACAGAAGCAACTACAGCAGCAACAGCAGCAACGACAACAACAGCAGCAACATCACATTTCGAGGGCGACGCAGCTACTTCCGATTCTGCTGCCCAGCTGTTTGTAGTCGGGACCTGCTCTCGCAGGACCCCACACGTCTTTGGAAATGATTGCGATGATCATGTCAGAGCTGAGAATTAAGTCACTCAAGATTACTTTGTTTAACCATAACTTTAGGTAGGTTAGTGTCATCGGGGTTCTGTGAATACTACTCATGAATGAAATCACACTCCTGTATGACCGACATTGTACTAATTTTGGTTGATCGAGTAGAACAAGGCACGTGCCATGTCCAGACGAATTCTTATCAACAACAGTGTCCTTAAATATGATGCTAAAATAAATGTTAACACTGGATTAAAAGTGCAACTCTTAACCCTCCCTCGCATTTACGACTAACGATTTGCATTTGCACGTAACATACATTCAAGCACAGTAAAATGCTAATACGACCATATTGTTATTCTAAAATTTGAATGCGATTCATGTCCTGTACCACCCACAGTTCACATATCCGACCCCCGGATCGATTGAACAGATAATTTACATACATATCTGTAGAGTGCGATTTTAATACTTCTAATTAGATTTAAATACCGTACCTCCGTTTATGGTGCTATAAATTATAAAACCAGTTGATAATTTTTATTGTCGTTTAATGTTTAGTGTTATTGTTTTCAGTGTTATCAGTTTACATGTTTTTAAGTACAGGTGATTTCCGGTATACATCGGTATTCTGGACCTGAACGTTGCGAAACGATTCATAACGAGGACCTTTCCCCACCAGAGCGCAATCCGCGAATGAAAAGAACTCGGGGCGCCGGGAGCACGTGCTTCCATGGTCAGTGGGGGACAGGGCATGGTTGTATTGCCTACAGGTGCCACCAGGTATGTCCCCCAAGTTGCTCCGCCCATGGCGGGGTCAGGTAGAGGTCATAGAGGTGGGTGATGTAAAGACAGTGCATCAACTAAAGGACAAGTGGTGACAACAAGATAGAGAGAGTTCGAGAAGGGAAGGCGAGACCAAGTGTGGACGGAGGTTCACGCCGAGAATG